ACTGTAAACTATTACATACATTCACTAGTAGTGGCAATTAATTTTGTCTGCATAGTGAAACAACATACACAGACATATGCTGAAATAAACATGTTTGAAAGTTCAAAGAAATGATATTCAAGTACCGAAAAGCTTTCTTACTATCATAACTACAGTAATGTTAAAATGTGCCTGCTCTGGATTGAACGAGAGTGACCACCAACAGGCATGATAATTTACGGCAAATGTACAAAGTTCACGCTGCTAACATCACGATTTATTCGGCACAATAAACAAAAGTATGGCTGCAATGAAACATAAACTTGAAATAAAAATACATTTATGAAACAAAATTAAAATGTTTTTTATTTACATATATAAACATGAAATCCTAGTTAAAAATAAAATATACTCATTTATCGTGTAGGTTTATTTACAAATATTATTTTCGGGTCTCGTATATTATTTGAAACCATAAGGAGAGAACGTGATTATTAAAAAATAGATAAAATTTGCATTTTATGGATGATAGAAATGTTTAGGGATTTTAAAATAATGTACTAATGTACAAATCTGGAACAAATATAAATATTGTGATAATTTCTTATAAATACGATTTCCTAATGTAATTTTCCAAGATATTAAAGATCATAATGCAGACTAACTTAAGTTTATCAAAAGTAACAGGCTTTATGTTTTTTAAACTACATGCATTTATGAAAGTTCTTATGAAGTTCCAAACAGTTTCATCCACTAGTTTTATTGTTGGAATGAAATATAGAATGACTTGCATTGGCTACTCAGAAAGTTAGTAGCCGGTGGTCATCGGGTTAAGTGCCTTTCTTTGCCTTAAAAAGGTATTTGGAAGCATTTCAAGGTCTTTCAAAAAGTATAATGTTTGTCATATGGCTGTATATTCTCATCAGACAGTCAATGGTTTGTTCCTAGCATCCATTTTCAGCTCATTCATGTATAACAAAATATGATTGTATTGGTATAAGTTAATAAAGTACAACAACTCTTATAAATAATAAAAACCTTGGGATCTTGTATTATATGATACTGTAAACTTTTTAGACAACTTTCTATGTTATTTTTTAACTGGTAGGATATAAGAATTTCAAATATCTTGCTTTCTTGATCTTTGCTTGTAAATGTTTTCTGTTGATTATATTCAGTAGCCTATCCCTCTCTTTGAATTTATCTCAATCTCAGTGTGCTATATTTCTCTCTTTCTTTTTCACCAAATGTTGTTTAACCCTATAATGCCATTGTGGGGTCACTATTACCCCATACCACTTGGTGTTAATGACTGAAAATTTAATGCTGGCATTCTAGGGTTAAGAACTATTTATAGAATTGTTAAAATAGATTTTTAAACTCAAATGTTTGTACTCGTAACAAACATTTTGAGGAACAGTAGTGTTAATATTCATAAATAATGTATTTCTCTGCCTACTAAGTTACTTCTAGGGTTAAGAACTATTTATAGAATTGTTAAAATAGATTTTTAAACTCAAATGTTTGTACTCGTAACAAACATTTTGAGGAACAGTAGTGTTAATATTCATAAATAATGTATTTCTCTGCCTACTAAGTTACTTTAAAAATAAAAAGATTTATTTTACTTTCTGGAATGCAGAAGGTGAGATTGAAGTCCAAGAAAGAGTGAACAGAGGAGTAGGATCAAACATTTCTCTGAGTATAGAAGAGGCAAAGTAAGTATAGATGTATTATTTTCTAATATTTAGGTAAGCTTATACATGCATATGAATATTATCACTAAGCATGGTAGTGCTTAGTATGTAGGGATGGGCAAAAAAAAATGGCTGCCACATTCAATCTGTTACTTTATGATGCTTATAAATAACTGTTAAATTTGAGTTATAGCTTCATTTGAGCACCTAATTGCTATTATTGAGTGTTTCACAGTAATGTTGGCAAGTGTTACTGAAATGAACTACCTAAAGAGCTAAAGTGTTCATCTTTCTTTTTCCTTTTCCTATGCTAGCCAAGAAATGTGTGAAGTTTTCACAATGGCTTTAGTATGACAGAAAAGTATTTTAAGAGCACTTGAGAACAGGCTATTACTAAGCACGGTTGTACTTAGAATAACCTAAAACAAATCATAATTCTTGTGTAAATAATGTTATCATTACCCCTTAAAGTTAGCTTTTTTACAGAAATCTGCTGTTTCAATTAAAAATCTTAAACACAGGTTGAAACAAGAATTACTAGCCATTAATAGATGTACATTAGATGACTGTAACATGTAGAGTACTCAGTGCTTTGTACACTATACAATCGGTGTCTTTAGGTAGCCAACCCTTATATTATATATGAAGTGAAGGAGTAAAAAAAAATCAATACACATAATATTAAATTTTATTGCACATGTTTATAGAATACTAAATTTCAGTAAGGGGAAAAATGTCACAAAACAAATAATAAACATTTTATAAATGTAAAATAATGTATGGATGGCAGTGCCAAAAAGAATGCAAACATGAATATTGGGATGATACAGTTATACATTTTATATGTTCTTTCCTTACTGTAGGTTCTGCAACATTAAGGCCCATGAAGTCAAGATTATGAACAGTGTTAATTAATAATCTATTGTAGCCAGTTATATGGTAATATCAGTATTTGAAGTCATTCTACAAGCACAGTGAAGAAACTGACAAAACTGATATGATATTAACAATATATATATATTGAATTATAAAAATAAAACAAATGTTCAATTGTCACCCTACTTCAATGCAATTGTTTTAATGAAAGAGAGGAAACAAGTAATAAAAACAATTTTGCAAAAATTAAGTATGAAGTAGGGATGGCAATGGCAAAAAATACCGAAACTAGGTAGGGATGAATACACAAAACCCCACAAAAATCACTACATAAGTAGCTAAATCTTTTCAAGAATAACTTTTATCTTCGATTCTTGTCAGTTGCATGAATTCAGATTTGAATGAAAGCATTTAAACTGAATAGTGCTATGCAGTCTTACAGTGGCTAATAACCATAAGTTTGTAAGATTGACTCAGTACTTACTGGCTACTTATGTAGCAAATTTTGTATGGTTTTGCATATTCTGTACTTTTTGGTATTGCCATCCCTACATCATACTTAATTTTTGCAATTTTTTTAAAAAATATTTGTGACGGAAAATTAATGTACATTACACAGTTACAAATGATGATAATGTTTTATCACCAGTCTTTCTACTGTTCAAATTATAAACCTTTCACATTTTTTTAAAAACTAAACAAATGTTTCAATATCATCAAATTATTTTCAGCTGTTATTGCAATTATTTGGTTAATGAATAATCTACTTTTAAATACAGTTGAACTTTGAATGACTTGGTTGTAAATATAAACATATACTAGTCTGTTTTTAATACTTTAACATTACTATGTGTAATGTGTTGGTGATTTTTTATGGTTTAATTTAGGTTTTGCACTTACATTGAAATCAGTTTTGTTTTTTTGAAGGTTATACACCTTTGTATGTTATATGAGAACATGAGCTTACTGATTAAATTGTACCTACAGAGTTTCTTTTTTGTTTTTTCTATGTTAATTCTTACATTTTTTGTGCTTATTGTATGTTTTTTATTTTCTTTCATAGCCGATTGAGGGCAAAGCTAGGTCTAAAACCTCTTCAAGTCAAGGAAGATAAACTTGGTGAGAAAAAATAAGTTAATTTTTTGTTTTACAGGAAGCTGTTTCAAGTTGGCTTAGATATAATATGTTTCAATCACCATGGGATAAATAGTATTTATTTGCAAACTTTTCATAATATATGCTTTTGAATTTATATTTAGTGTCATTTTATTTTATATAGTTGACTCACATTGATTGTTTGGTTATCACTTGTGGATAGCTATTGCTATTAAAAGAAATGCTTTCTGTCATATGTTATTTCATGATGAGTGTTTCATAGATGAGTGAAATTTTAACCTTGGACTACTGATTGAAAATCACTGTTTAATAACATACTATTTATATAACAGAGTTTTTTTTATATTACATAGTTTATGATTTTGAAATTGGGCCAGATTTCGTGTCAAGACATCAATCTCAAGCACAGTAGCGATGGATTTAGCTCACAAATATTTCTCACTGTCAGTTGGATAGTTTGGTAATTTACAACTCCACCAGGGGCTGTTGAATCACAGAGATTTTACTGACTGCTCATTTCGTTTGCTTCTTAATCTAAAGATATATCCTTTATCCAAATCTCTCTTAACAACAAAACATAATTTAAAAACAAACTATTTTTGTTGTTTTTCCTTCCTGTTTCAGTATATAATGATCACATCTCATGACAGTGTTGTATGTAAAATACATTGTGTAACATATTTTAGAACATCTTTAAAAAAATCCAACTTTTAGTTGTTTTTTCTTTCTCTTCTTTGCCATTAGAAAAGTTTTGAAAGTTGGATTTATTAGCTGCACCTCATTGCATGGCTCTGTAGTTTTTTTTTTTTTTTTTCAAGTACACACTTTTAGCTCATAGCTCCATCATCGCTTGACCGATTTGAGATCTAATTACAATTTTGGACTCAGGAGGTCAAACCCTTTCAATTGCTGTATTTCACTATGCCCAAGGTCTGGTAGATTATTTTACTCTAACCATGCCTAAAAGAATTTCAATTTGAGGATAGGCTCTTAGACATCCTGATGAGTAATATAATTGGGTGAACTCGCGCTCCACATTGTTATTGCTGGTGCACAAAAATATAGATAACTAAAATGGAAAAAAAAGGTATCATAGATTATTTTGCTCTAATCCTGCATAAGAAAATTTCACGTTCCATGGATATTGAGGATTTCCTCTTGTTTTGATATTAACAAGTAAGCTGTGTGAGTAACATTGATAGATTTTTTGTGAACTTCTGAGTAGAGTTGTTAATTCCAAGACTGTCCATCTGCCAGCAAGAGGTTTTAAGTGAGTTAAGTCTCTCAGGTAAATAGTAGTCATGTTTTCTTTTGTAAGAATTCTTTTTATGGTAAATATGTAGAGGTGATTTTTAGAAATATTACAACGTTTAGACTGTAAAGGTAGTTTTTTTCTTCTCTATGAAGTTCATGAAGCTGGTGGAGGTGGAGGAGGAGGGGAGAATTCTTTGAGTATAACAGAAACAAAGTAAGTAAAACATTTTTTATCAAACAAACATACGTGCAACTTCACTCGGACGTTAATATGAGATGTATCATAATAAATATTCTAACTCAATATGGGATGTGTCATGATAAATATTCTAACTCAATATGGGATGTGTCATAAAAAATATTCTAACTCAATATGAGATATGTTGTAATAAATATTCTAACTCAGTATGGGATGTGTCATAATAAATATTCTAACTCAATATGAGATATGTCGTAATAAATATTCTAACTCAGTATGGGATGTGTCGTAATAAATATTCTAACTCAGTATGGGATGTGTCGTAATAAATATTCTAACTCAGTATGGGATATGTTGTAATAAATATTCTAATTCAGTATGGGATATGTTGTAATAAATATTCTAATTCAGTATGGGATATGTCATAATCAATATGGGATATGTCATAATAAATATTCTAACTCAATATGGGATGTGTCGTAATAAATATTCTAACTCAATATGGGATGTGTCGTAATAAATATTCTAACTCAATATGGGATGTGTCGTAATAAATATTCTGACTCATTATACCAGTGTGGAGAGAGTATTTATTTTTTAATTGTTACTCAAGACAGTGCTTTTAGGTGTGGATTTAAAATAAATGTGTTGTTTTTGAGTTTTTATGGTATAATTTGTATATCATAAAAATGTTAGTATTATATCACTTAAAAAAATATTTATAAATCTTTTCAGAAATTATTTATTATGTGATGTTATTCTAGTTAATTTGTGAAGACGTACATTTCACATTGGCTTTCGATTCATGATCCTGTTATATACATTGTTCTGTAATCCTGTTTGTTACTGATTTTATAATTTTATAAAAGTTTTAATTCTATGAATACTACTGTGTAAATCTTGACTTGCTCTTGTCTTCCAACATAATGCTGGATTTCATCTTCTTGACACATCATATTCAAATGTCAGCTGTGTTTGAATTATTATATACAAGTCTTATTAATTGTTTTCTAATAGTACACTGTTATTAACTATGAAAGTCAAAAGGTTGATTCTTGAAAAGCCATAACTTCTTTCTTTAAACTCAGTTATCTTGGTGATTGTTGAATATGTGAGAATGAAAGCATAGCATGTCTGAATAGAAACTAACCAGACTTTCACAAATATCACCAGGATATGGTTAAGATTAAGTAAAATGATATTAGGTACAGTTGTTAGGTATAAACCCTGTACATGTGGGCTCGGTCAATTTGACTGACCTTGCAGTCACCATGTAGCCATAAAATCATATATACTATAACTCTGAATGTACTAGGTGTTTTCTCACAAAATTTGGCAAGCTATTAGCAAACATTACAAATATGTTACACACAGAAAATCAGATATTTTACTAAAGTATTTTTATTATTGATTTCTATGTGAACTTATGAAACCTTTACTGAGTCGGTCAGAGGGAAAGATGATTTTCATGCTAAGAATGAAATTACTTCTTTTCAGCTTACATAATCTTTAAAATCCCCTATATGAGTATCAAAAGTTTTTTGGTAAAACTTTTATAAAATTTATCTCTTTATTTTCTCTACCCTAACAGTAACTGTGGTGAATTCATCAATGTATGTTTAAATGAAAAGTTGAAAAATCTGAAATTAATGATACCTTGATTTGTTTTTAGAATGACTGTAGATTGTAAAAGACAATTGGAATTATTTATCCTAACACCATCAGCTTCTAACCTTCCACACCAACTTTCCTATAATTATATAGTTATTTTACTACAGTCTGATCCTTCTCTATTGGGAAAAGCAATTAATCACAGCAATAGGGTTAACAAAGTTCAGATTGTAGCACAAGGCATATATGCTTCCTTATTGACTAATCTTGTGCATTTATTTCATTTAACTTTTGTTATATAACATAAGAAGTTTCTAATTTTAACATTGGAGTTACTTTTGTTCAAAATATATAACAATGAATAAGAAATATATATAAAAAAAGAAACTTAGCACTTAATAGAGGCATTGAGGTCATTTATACTCAGAGGCTGTGTGTTAGTAATCCTCTAATTTTTCTCACAACATTGTTTATCCAAAACATAATTTGTGTAGGTTTCAAATATGCATTTTTAGAACACAAAAAATATATTAGGCACCAGAATAGAATCTCCCAAAAATATAATTAATCTTTCTTTCTAACTAAGCTATAAATATGTTAAAAAATTCCATTACTGCTTGGAACAATGATTTTATTCAACAGTGTCAAGCTCTTCATATGAACTATGATATTTGTATGCCAAATCTAAACAAATGAACATAAGATTCCTGTACATTACATTATGCTTTTTCAGTAGGTTATAAACTTGTCCATCAGACAAATTGGTGTATGTGAATAATTGATTTAAAATGCATGAAAAGATAGAAGGTGCATCTCTGGTGGGTTTGACAAATTTATTGATATGTCAGCAAATCAACAAGGTGAATGGTTCAAAGTTTATATTCTTCCTTGTCGATATATGTAGTTTGTGTTTCTAATTGATTAGGGACTGTAGAAGCTATATTGTTGAAATTATAAAATCTAAGTGGGAGAGATCAGAGGGTAGATGTGTAACATGACAGAAGTGGGAAGATTGAAATTGATACAGTCTTACCTTCCCTCACAAAAAGCTATCTCGATCTTCTGCCCTCTAAGCATTGCTAAAAACATTTTCCTAATCAGCGCACCAGTCTATATACCCCATCAATTTTGCATCATTTCTGAACATGTGCATATCATATGACTACTCTCCACCAATAGTATTGTGCCATCTATATTGGCACAGCTATCTCTCTCTGCCATTTCCACTCAGTCCTCACTTTCTCGATTGACACAGCATTGTTTAGACTTGTGTTTTTTTGCATGTGGCTACCACTTTGCCATTTTAATTTTCTTTAACAGTTTTATTTTACTGTGTTTGCATTCACTTGTTTCAACAATTCATTTCTTATTACCAAATTACCAGAGATCTTAGTATGAATTTCTGATCCATGTATCAACTACAAAAATTCCCATTACAGTTAAAACGCTACTGGTACGATTTCCCAGAAATTGGTTTCAACTTTATCTGCAAAGAAAGTACAGGCCCTAATTTACAGGGAGCTAGATTCATATGTTTGGCCAGCAATTTCTTCTTTTTTTTCAATGTGAATGTTTCTGAGGAAGAATACAATCAGTGAGAAGACAATTTCAACTCTCTTTTTCTGGCATCTTATTTTGGTCTGTCACACTCTACATCTTTTCTGGAGTTTTCACCTTCCATCAGTTGCAGTGCTGCCACATCAGTTACTTTGGTGGAAAATTGTTCTTTTCTTCCTTTCATCCTATTGCTTCCAGTCCTCCCAGGGGATCTTTGGTACGTTTTCAGCATGCACACTTCACAGCTGGTTGATATACCTGTGGTAGGGACGATTCAGATGCCCTTTGTATGGCTTTGTCCTTATTTACATACAGAAGAATTAAGTATTTCATATTATCAGTGCTCAGACTCTGGTAAGTTAGATATTTATGTGTCCTTTGTCACATAAGTTGCTTTAGATGAACTGTAAGTTAGATATTTATTATTACTTTATTTTTTTAGGTAAATTTAATTGTTTTGCATGTTCATGAATATTATGTACTTTGTAGAATGCAAATTTCATGTGTTTATTAGTTCTTTATTAATAATTACTTTAAGTAGATGTGTTCAGATTGTTTGAAGTTGCATATCATTACTACGAGTAACGTCTAATTCATTGTTCTATCTGGATAATTTTTTTTATTATTGTTAGCTATGGGCCTTATCCTAATTTTTGTCAGTGTGTCCTTTGTATTCTAGGTTAATTTAGATGAATGGTAAGTTAGATTTTGATTATTAATGTGTTTTCTAGGTAATTTCAGTCAGTTTACACATTCATTATTATTACGTACTTTGTAAACTAGGTAAATTTAGATGGATTGTCCGTTTGGTATTTATAAGAACTTATTTTAACTAGGTATGTTTAGATAGTTTGTACGTTACATATAATTACTACTGATAATATATATTTCATTGTTCTATCTGAATGTTTTTTTTTTGTAACTGTTAACTATGTGCCTTATCATCCTAATTTTCATCAGTGTAGGACTTAAGTTTCTTGCTTTGTTATGTCACTGACATGTTTGTTTGTTTGTTTCCCATTCATTGGACTGAGCTTGGCTTTGGCTATTTTCTTATGTTTGTGATACTAGAAACCACATTCTCTCCTTATAATCTATCATTTGCAGTCCTTCCACACAGTGCTCACTTCATCGATAGTTATTTATTGCTCTGAGTTCAGGGCCCTACCGTTTGGACTAACATCTGCTCTTTGTCTTTTGTCGAAGGGTACAAACTCTTACATGACATCTTCACTCTATGAGTATTTGCACTCTTCTTTCTATAGATGACTGGCTCTTGCTTACTTTTTCCTGTTCACAGTTCAGAGACCACATTTTGCTCCTACAGGAAATAGCACGGATGGGATCCCTGATGACAGTGGGGAAGTCTATTCTTAGCCCCTCTTAGTACCTCATTCATTTGGGTTTTCTTCTTTCCTACTTCAGATGGGCCAAGCCTTTTCCTTTTCATCTCCAGAACTGGAGCAAGCAGTGCACACATCCCTCTTACATTTCTCACAGCTTGAGATGTTCTATCTCTTTTGGGATGTAGACTCCCTTAGAAGATTCTCTCATTCACATGGGTTGGGCTCATATGCATTCCCTTTGGTGGACACTTCTAGATCAGTGGAAGCTATCTTCAGATCCCTGGCCTCATGGTTAGACAGAGACCAGATTCCAGTGGGGGTGCTGCTTAATTCCTCATCTGGATTTACATCTATTCACAGACTCATCTTTAGAGGATTGGAGTTCCAACATTGACTCCCTAGGGTTTTCCAGTCTCTGGTCGATCAAGGAGTCTTCTCTTCATATCACCTTTCTCAAGTTTTTGGTGGTTCTTCAAGCTTTGTCCCACTTCCTTTCTCTCCTATGAGAGGGTAATGGTTATGATACATTCCGACATCTCCACAGTGGTCACATATGTCATAGAGCCAGGTCTCTGTGCTTTCAGATCTTGGATATTCTTTCTTGGTCCACAGTCACCACATTGTGGTCCTAACTTGCCATTTTCCTGGATCCCTGAATCTGGAGGTGGATTGATTATCTTTTCCAAACAAAATTCTCCTCACATAGTGGTCACTTGATTCACAAGTCTATAGGTGGGTGTGTTCTCAGCTAGGGATTCCTCATATATGCCTACAACACCCACTGGAAAATCAAACTTCCTTCCCTTTGGTCTCCCGTTCCTCATCTGTTCACACTGGGTGTGGTCATATTCTGTCAAGATTGTATGGGTCTTCACATCTATTCTTCATTTTTCTGTTCGATTCCTCTCCAGAGTTCTATCCTTATTCCAAACCACTGAGTGTCTCATCGTACTGGTGGCTCCATCTTGGCTGCTGCAACCATCGTTCTCACTGCTCTGACCTTTACTTGTTCAACCTCCCCTACTCTTACCTCTGTCTCAGTCCCTATTATTGTCGACCTTGGTTAGATATTGTTCACCCAGATGTCACCATACTCTGTCTTCACACATGGCTTTTGTCAGGTCCATTGTCTCAGCCTAGTGACTGTCTCCACGTGTTGCATCTTTCCTTTCCCGATCTGTTAGACCTTCTTCCATGTCCATTTATCACAGGTGATGTTGTACCTTCTGCCTGTAGTCTCTTCAACGTGGTTTCTATCTTTTCTGTTACTCATCTTTCCTTATTCTTCACCTTGTTGTTTGACAGAGGCTTGTCCACATCGACTCTGTTTAGCTATTAGGTGGCCTTGTTGAACACCTTCCATTTCTCCAGGTTTTGTCTTCCTCTGTCATTTCCCTCCTTTTTCTGCTCCTTTCGAGTCATGCATCCTCCACATTTTGATTTGCCTGGGATCCCACTTTGTGGTGGTTATTGCCTGGTCAGGTATGCTTGGCCTCATACCTGCACTATTTACTGATTACACTATAATGCTCACTGTAGAGATGGGGTGTTTCCACAAGGCCAGTGGCGGCATACCCAGTGGTATATCTCTATATGTTTTTCGATATCAATAACTTTCACTCCATGGTGGACAGTCACTTCCTCTGGTGTGATGTTCCTCTGGATTCTCCACCTCTTTTACTTCCCCCACTTTTCTTCCAGTGGAACATCGAAGTCCTTACCACTTCCCAGTTCACAGTCGCTGTGGTGGTGGACTGTGAAGGCTTCCACATGAGTGAACATAGAATTTACTTTACCATACCTATTCATGATTATACACTCAGTGAGGGCAAAGCTGGTTTCCCTCCTTCATTTTCCTTTGTGTGTTTTTCCCAGGTGAACAGATGTCAGTTGGAGCAGGTCTAGGCTATGCGGGATCCTCTTTGTAATACCGAATTATGGATTACACTGCCCTGTTACTGTGGTTGTGTGCAGTAAAGGCTTCTCTTCTCGATAATTTCAGTTGCAGGAGGTTCTTTCCCTGCTGCTACGGTTAAGTTTGGCAGAGTTCGTCTCCTTCGTAATACTGACAACAGGGGGTACGTACACTGTTGTTGTGGTTGAGTAATTGGTCCATGTCCTCCTCATAATTCCGGATGTAGGATTTTTCTTCTCTGCATTTACGGTTGAGGGAGTTATGATTTTTACTCATAATATTGGTTACAGATATTACTCTGTTCCTACAGTTGAACTGAAGCAATGCCACAACCCTGGAATGCTGGGTTCAATTTTGTTGTCCATCTTTCCCCTACAGTTGTTTTGGGAGTTTGTCCAATTTTGGCTGAAAATCGCTTCCTCTTTGTAATTCTCTTTTGACATATGACAATCTGTTTACTTATGGTTGGTTTTGATGAGTATATAACACGGTCAATATATATACCCTAGCCACAATGTTGATGTTACATTTTTTTATGATGAGGATGAGCTATGAAACCTTATTAATTTGATTTAGGTGATGAATATACATAGCTAATTCTGTTTATATTTTATTGTGGATTGTACCTCTCAGAATAAATTGCACTTGTGCACATCCATTTTTTCCACATGTGTCAGATTAATTTCCTACTTCCAGGGCAAAGAGTATACCTGTTCCAGATGTAGTGCAGTATCCCACAAGTGTGCTTCGTTTTCATCTCACAGCACACCCATTTATTCTAGGTGATCACTTTACACTTGGTTTCTATGTTGTGTGCCTAAACTGGCTCATTCACTTTTGCAATGTGGGATTCTAGCTTTGTGTGAGGAAAGGTAAGACCATATCGGAATTTAACATTTTTCTTACACTGAAAACGTATTTCTCATATGACTTCCTCTCACCCACTTCCCACCCTTCTTCTCCACTTTTGGTGTTCATTTGGAACCTGCTAATTCTCAAAAGTGAAGATTGAACAAGAATAGCAGTGGGAACTAGCTGCTCCAATATAGATGGTGCAATACTACTGGTGGAGAGTAGTCAAATGATATGTACACATTCAGAAATTGTGAGAAATTTATGGGGTATATTAACTGGTATGCTGATCACATATTGTTTTAGTAATGCTTAGAGAGCAGAAGAAGATAAAGGTAAGTACCTATCAGAAATACATTTTCAGTGAAAGAAATTGTTAACTTTCAACTACATTTTGATGTCATGTTTATATGATAAAGTTGTTGAATTAAATTTTGTAAAAAGGTTGTGAAGTAACTACAAAGTCAATGAAATTCAGTGAGCCTTTATTCAAAGGGTTAAAGCACTTTCTTTGCTTATGAAAAAAATATTGTTAAATCTTATTGTGTTCATTATCTACACAAATATTACATGTTTTAATAAGTGTTTTTCTTTTGTAGCAAATTAAGAGCAAAGATAGGCCTCAAGCCATTACAACTTCAAGAAGAAATACCTGGTAAGATTAAGCTAATTGGACAGATTATGCAAAATTACATGTTATTTTTCTATTTTGAAATTTGTAGTTTTGTTTTAAATAAATATGTAATAGTTGTGATGAGATTTTCTTGTTGTTTGGGCAGGTCTTGAGCAAGCTGATGGTGGCAATGATGATGATGAAGAAGAAAGGAAAGAAGTGTTTGTTAAAACAGAAAACATTTCAGACAAAAAAAAGGAAGAAACAATACGTGAAAAGCTAAAAATTCAGAAAGAAAAGAGAAAAATAGCAGATAAATTAAGGTCAGTTTTCTTAGAAGATTTGTAATGAAGAGTTGTAATGTATAATTAATCTTGCCTAAGAATGAAAATTGTGATAAATATTAGGATAATAAAAGCATATATATACCTGATTTGAAACACCTGTATCTTTTGTCCATTCAACAATTAGCTTTAGTTGCCCTGTAATAATTATATAGATGTCAATGAAAGTTTCTAGTCATTACTTGAAGTTTTTAATGAATAACTTGTGTAGTACAGACTCTTGTTGTTTTTGGTTCTTATAATCTGTATGATTAACTGGATGATGGTACTTATACATTTGGCTTTAGATGTAAAACAGTAAATTAATTATTATTACTAGCACTTCCATTTAATGAAGTGGCTTTACTGTCTATTGATATTTTTAGCACTCTTTATTCTGGGTTTTTATATTAAGTAGGTTGGTTTGGTTTTTACGGCCACATGAATTTATGGAGTATGAAGTGACCTTCTGTTAGGTAGCAAAGTATTCTTTAAGAGTTGTGCATTTGGTACAAATCACAGACTTGAAGATTGATTTGAAATGTGACCTTTTACAATTTCTTTATTCGATCTTTAGAAATAGGTTAAAATGTGCACGTATGTAGCATGTAAGGATCCAGTTTGAATTCCTTCTGCAACTTTTCTTGCCAGTCTTCATTTTTTATAGAATAAAATTATAGGTCTTTTATCTTAAACAATAAAACCTTCCAAACCTGGTAAGAAAGCTATCATATAATTTTAAACTTTGTCGTATATTTAGTCAAACATTCACTGATCACATTGATCAAATTATGTCTTAAGTATCTTCATTGTCTGTAAGAAATACTAAGTAGATACCTCATAACAATAGTTCATTAAAACTATAGAAATAGTAATATTTCTCAAAGAAGGTACACAAAACATTGTTAAAATTTTCAAATTTAAAAAAAACTCAAAATTTCACACCAATCATAGGGAACCAGAAAAGACCTGGAAAAAGTTTCTTTCTTGTGTTAAAGAATATACAACCTTTATATGTGAGGACATAAACTTCAATTATTTGCTGTAGCAGAGCTGTATATAACTTCTATATGTGAAGACCTAAACTTCAATTATTTTCTGTGACAGAGCTGTATATAACTTGTATATGTGAAGACTTAAACTTCAACTACTTTCTGCGACAGAGCTGTATATAGTTTGTATATGTGAAGACCTAAACTTCAATTATTTTCTGTGACAAAGCTGTATATAACTTGTATATGTGAAGACCTAAACTTCAATTATTTTCTGTAACAGAGCTGTATATAACTTGTATATGTGAAGACCTAAACTTCAATTATTTTCTGTGACAGAGCTGTATATAACTTGTATATGTGAAGACCTAAACTTCAATTATTTTCTGTGACAGAGCTGTATGTAACTTCTATATGTGAAGACCTAAACTTCAATTATTTTCTGTAACAGAGCTGTGTATAACTTGTATATGTGAAGACCTAAACTTCAATTATTTTCTGTGACAGAGCTGTATGTAACTTGTATATGGGAAGACCTAAACTTCAATTATTTTCTGTGACAGAGCTGTATATAACTTTTATATGTGAAGACCTAAACTTCTAACACTTTATTTAACAGTGTTATATTTATTAAGATGTATTTGTGAGGAGCTAGGCTTCTGTCATTTTCTGTAGTAATGCTCATATTTGTCATGTGATATTAGTCATATGTGTTTGGTTTATACTCAACATGAACAATCAGTTTTTTATGTCACAAGATCAGTTATTTATTTTCCCATTAGTAAAACAAAATGCTTGGGAGAATCTGATTCAGAGAATGAAGATGTGCTTTTATGGGTGAAAAAAAGTCGCGAGTTGCAGGAGGAAAGAGAAAAGGCAGAAAAACGGGTAAACTTTTCATGGTTTCTTGATTATCTTCTGTTATAAAATGAATACTTTGTGATTTTCTTTTTAAAATTGGGTTTTAGTGAAGACTAGAAATTAGTGTATACACTTTTGTAAACTTTGTGAAATATAATGAAGTTTTTAGTTTTGTAGAAGTAGAGAATGTTTAAACTTATGAACATGTTTTATTACAAGGAAATGGAATTGAAATATGTAGTTTGTATACAAACATATTTTCAAAATTGTTATGCATGTAATATAGGCCAAAATGCTTGCTGAGATGGATGAAGAGTTTGGTGTTGGGGCCTTAGTTGAAGAAGAATTTAAAGGAATGAAAGCATCTGGAAAGGTATGGAGCTAATGTAGTTTGCTGGTAATGGCTTATATGTTGTTTATATTTTTCAAGCCCACTTCTTTGTCAGTATTTTTGTATAATATTATGACAGAAAGTTGGTTCTGTTGAATATGTACCCATTTATAAAGTTGGGTTACTTCCAAAATTATATGGTGGTAAAAGTTCTGATTCTGTTGTTATGTGTGTCTTACTTTAAGTTGTTTAAACCTGATCTTACTGATGTTTTTTGGATGTGTGATTAAACACACCTTAGTGATTAGATGGTAAAACATGAAACTGCACAGCTGATCATCGTTTATAGAAACAAGTTTTTTTTTGATTTAGTTATATATATGATCTAACCTATGAAATGACAAACATTGTGAAAATGTAGTTTTGATACATTTTGTTGCACAACAATTTTTCTATCTGCTGTGGTTCACACTTGACTTGCTGATTTGCATATTCAAAATTGTTTTAATGTAACATACTTAACCCTGTGAGTAAAGTTAATCATCTAACACATCTTAACGATTAGATACTGTAACATTAATTATCAGTTGCAGGAGAAGAGTGGTCTAATTTAAGAAACACAACACATATCAGTTGCTGGATAGTAAGATCTGAAAGTGCAATGCCGATCATCATTTGTAAAGAAAGGGTTTTTTAATTTAAAGTTGTGTGGTATATTTTAGTTCTGTGAGTAGCAGTCTTTTGGCTTTGGATGTTCATTACACTTAAACTTCAAGTGGATGATTTTCTAGTTTATACATAGAACTTGGAGTGATAAAATACCTTTTATTAATGTTTTTATCTCTATTGGATAGGCCTACACGAGTAAAGACCTTCGAGGACTCACGGTTGGCCACGGAGTTAACGTTTTCAAAGAAGGTGGTTCTGTTGTGATGACACTACGTGATAGAGGTTAGTTGCTAGTATAAAGTTTAGTGCAACTTTCTTTTCAGTTGGCAAAAATATGAAAAAAAACACCAGAAATTAATGTTTCTCCGTGAAGCCTCCACTTTAAAGGAAATTGAACTGTAAGTTTGAGGAGAAATGAGAAGTTTTGTTGAACTGGTTACGAATTATTTGATAAAACCAACAATTAATATTTGTGACTCTTTGCCCTTTTTTTTTCAATTGAAGAATATAACCAGTACAGCATAAATTAGGCTTAGCGTGATCACAACTAAATAGTTGCATAAAGTTTTAGAGCAGAGTTTAAGTAAAAATGTATAAAAAGAAACTGTACAGTTGTAGAGAAATAAACAACAAAATGTAAATTTTCTGGACTTGGAGAATAGGCCTTTAGGTCTAAGGCTTAAAATGTTTAGATTTTTTGAATTAGTTTATCATTAAAACCATTGCCTTTTTTTGGTTATGAGTAAAACCTGTTTTTTTCAGGCAGATTACAGAACGTTAAGTAATAACAACTTCTTAACTCTTTTTCCACACCGGCTTGGTCGAATTGACCGACCTTATAACCACTTTGTACTTGTTATAGTTTCCATACTATAACTTTTAATACAGTATATATATGTTCACAAAAATCATATTTTTTAATGAAGGATTTTTACTGAAGATTTGTCCATGAATATATCAAATCTTTTTTTTTTAATAGTCTCTGAGACAAAAGTATTTTCATGTTAAGATTAAAAATATTTTTTTTTCTTAAAAATCAACTTTCATTTGTGTAACCTCTAAGACCTCATAAATACATGTAAAAGTTTGTTTTTCAATAACATTTTATATTTTATTTGTTATTACATTTCCCTCAATGCTATACTTGATTCTTCAGCTTATAGACAAATCATAAAAGTATAATGAAAAGAAAAGTTGTAAAATGAGGAATAAAATAAGCAGCTGTGCCATTTTTTTCTCTTTATTATTGGTCACGAAGTTTCACAGTACATCTCTTGAGATGTTGAATCACTAAACATTTCACATTTATTTTCTGTTTATTTTACTCTCAGTGACTAATATAGAAACCCACTGAAAATAAAGCAGTAATTTGCCGCTTGTGTCGGTAGACTGTTTACGCGACACCATAATATACTACCCTCAAAAGCAACAAAGCATGCGTGAAGAGGTAGGTGACTTGACTCCTGCTCAGAGGACAGGAGGTCTAAGGTCTCGAATTATATATCCTACGATATTTTCTTGGAAAATTTAGAGTAATAATACTGCACTTAGAATCAGTGAAAACGTTTATACCGACAACAGGATGTGGAGTTTATCGGTTTACGTGTGAATCCTACAGTGTTTAGAACAAGAATTCTCCAGAGCTATGACACTGTACTTTGAATCTGTTAAAACGTTTATTATATGGTTTGGTACTGATACAATAAACATCACAATTCTTTGAATATTGATAATCATTTTGGGGTGTTTGGAATTTAGCGGCATAGGTGTACAAAGATGTTATTTGAGCACATGCTTATAAGATCCTATTCCCTTTTTCAGCACACTTAATCGTCAATTAATAAAAACGCAGGTTCTTGTACTACCTATTGCATTCGTTAAGTTTTGGTTTTAGTTTTGCAAACCTTCTAAGTCTAGTCTTCTTTATTATTTCCCAGACATTTGTAAAATATCTTCTAAATGTGATGAAAAAACCTGTTTTTAAATTGTCAAGTTTCTAATGTTCTATAATTTGCCTTTATTTTACCTCAGTTTAGACAATTAGAATAACACACATTCAGAAGGCATAACTCTGTGTTGGCCTACAAAAAATACAAATCTGTAACTATAATACAAGCACTTTGCAAAATACAGTGATATTTGGCTACCATAGATTACATATGTATATATGTATGTATGTGTATATAAATCAGTAAATACCATACTATGCAATACATTAATTGTTTTTTAGGCAATTAAAATCAGCACTATGAAACAATAATGAATTTAATATAAAAGTAGAAATTGTGTTACTTTTTTATAATAAATATGAAACTATATTAAGGGTTAAGCTCTCATTCATGGAGAATACATTATGAAAACTTTAGAGGGCATTATTTACTTAGTTTAAGTAGCTAATTATCATTTGTAGAATATTTCAATATACTGGGGCAGAAAGACCAACTTCAGGTAGCTGGGCTTGTCTCAGCTCACCTGGTGTATGCTTGAATGGTAAGGGTCTTTTATTTTGGTTAACATCAGTGAGTTCAAGCACTCAACTCCTAACCCTTAACTGATTCTCCTTAGTGCTGGCACATTTTTGATCAGTGTTTGGATTTTGTCTGATAGATGGATTATCCCCAATGCATTTGGGTGCTATGACACAGGCATTATCCTTTATGACTTAGGGATAACAGTAAGGAATGTTAAAGGAGTCGTGTTTTTGAATTTCAACTACAGTATGCTGTTTTGGTTTATATATATATTACTGTTTACTCATAAATGTTCAAATTTTAGTTATTTTTCTTAAAACATTGAACAAGCCTCATTTATTCTTCTGAGTGGAGGGTGAAGAGATATTAATTTTTGTAGGTTTCAAATATAAATCTTAGAAAACCAAAATATTATCAAGTTATTGTATTAGTACACACAAAATACATGGGATTTATCTGGATCTCTAAATAAGCTATATGCGGCTTACAAAAAATCCCATTCCTATTCAGAGCAAGGACCTATTCATTACACTTCAACGGTTTTAACGAAGTTATTACTTTCTCCTTCAAGCTACCTACAAAACGAGGGGAAACTGATCTTTCTATTGGTTATAAACATGGACTAATTAATAGCAGTAGGTGAGAGTAGACAACAAAAGAATTGAGTAGTGGGAGGAGTCACTGTTGTAGGTTTGCTAAAAATATTGACATCTCAGCAAATCATAGAGGCGGGATGTTCTTATTTTATATTTAGCTTGTCTATATCTCTAATTTGAGTTCCTAATTTGCTAGTCACTGTACCAAACTGTAGGTGTAATAAAATATAAACTGAGCAATAAGACAAGAGCAAGTGATATGTGACACCCAAAAATTGATATTTAGTTTCTTTTTCTTTATATTTCCTTTTAAATTAAGAAATTAAAACATGTATAACGTTAAAATTTGAATTATAAACTACATTTTGCTGCCAACTTCATTGACATAGGTAGTAAAGTTATTTGATAAAATTTGGAAATATAACTCTCCAAAACATCATGATATGTGCACTTTAACTTGCACAGGGTGAAAGAGTTAAGGCTTCAACTATTGTATTATTATTTATACTCATCCTAGGTTGCCCATGAAATATAAAGAAAACTTCATCATTCATATGTGGTGACTACTGATTTGACTTTTTATTTGATTTATGATATCTTCTTTACCAGAATATGGAATGAAGTAAACCGGATACAGAATTATTGTTTGTTGTGTACTTTGTATGGAAAAGTTTTTGTTTTTTAATTGTTTCCTTGGCTTGTATTAGAACCCTAGACCCTTCGCACACCATGTGAATACTAACCAACTGATGTAAATGGTTAATCTACTAGTGCTTTCTAGTAAGGCACTTTTTTTTTTCTAACAACTTAAACTTTCAGAGTTTTCCCTTCTCACAAACCAGGCTCGTTCTTGGAGTATAGTTGGACACCAGTTTCTGTTGTGTTAATTTGATGGTCAATTTTTTGTTGGGTCAGAATTTAACTTGAGAACATCAGACAAGAGTTCTACCAACTGTTAGTACTTGCTGGTATTAAAGACATCTTTTAACAACTCAACTACCACAGTGGCACTTTATACCTAAAAGTATTCAATGTTATTTGGATTACTTTAGTTTAATTTGCTTCATTTGTAGATGCACAGACTTGTCTGTTGGTGGTTAGCATGTGTGGCTAGAGAATGAAGGATCTGGGATTTGAGACTTAAAGCTGCTGAACACACTCAACCTTAGTATGTTTTTCAAAAAGCCAAACAGTACTCTGGTGTTGCAAATTGGTTTGCACACACTTTGCCCAATAGTTGAAAGTTAAGGATAGCTATACCTGAATCTTAGGAGTTTCTTACCTTGGTGCATTATTCCATATGCACATAAGGTGCCATTCAGGTTGAAACATTTCCAGTCCCATTTGTTTGTTAGTAGTTGTGCTTGTTTACAATGTTCAAAGTAGGTATATTGAGGAATATCAAGTAGCTTAACATACAGACCTAGATATAGTGCAGATAAGGAAAAGTTATTTCATGATGGTAGGTGTTTAAGTAAAGAAGTCTTATTTTTTGCTGATTTTCTGTATTACAGATGTATTAGATGAAAGTGAAGATGTTTTGGAAAATGTTAATATTGTGGAGGAAGAGAAGGCTTCCAAAAATGTTGAAAATAAGAAAAAGAAACCAGAGTACAGACCATATGAAGAACCCGAGTTTGATGAGTTTGGAATTGTAAGATCAGTCATTTTTAATATTTAATACTAGTATGATGGTTGTTTTTTTATTGTTTGTTGTTAAGCACAAAGCTACACAAAGGTCTGTGTGTGCCATGATCACTGTGGATATTGAAATTTGATTTTTAGTGTTATAAACCCTAAGACTTACCACTGGAAGGCTGGTTATTTTAACCCTAGTTTTTATTTTATATGAAGTTTTGAGATATTCAAAAAATAAATTCTGTTATGTGCCAGGATTTTAAAATAACCTTTTAAAAGTTAGCTGAGAGGTGCTTTATACATACAAATGTTTTAATAAATAATTATATGTTTAGTGAAAGAACTTGATACATTAAATTCGATTGCCTTTTGATACACTTTTGCAACAGTGTATTGTATTTTGAGCTGTTTGAAATGTGCACATAGTATCATACTTTTAATGAAAAGTTATATTATAGTCTGGCAGATATCTAATAGGTTAATATTAACAGAATGATAAAAAAGTACTTATGTATCAACACTTAGCCATCTTCTGGCTGTGACAGAGATGATGGAACAAATTATTACATCTAGAAATATTTAGGTGTTAAACCACTGGAGACCAATTCTTTAATTAGCATTTGAAATTGCTCGTTATTGTGCTAAGCTTAAACCAGTACACTCAACATTCTATGATAGTTTGGTTTGTGTGCTTGTTTTTATATTTTGATGTAATTTGTACTTAGAATGATTTTTTTTTAAAAAAAATTGTTAGGTAAAAAAGAAATCTGTCTTGTCAAAATATGATGAAGAACTTGAAGGTCCGAAGAAAGAACTGTTCAAAATTGGTGAGTTGTTTTACCCAATAACTGGAGATGAAAGATTTACGTTAGGGTTAGTTTTTAAGTCCAAAGAAGTTTAACTATTATTTTGATAAATATTGGAGCCATTTTAAAACAAAAAATGAAGTCTAATATTTTCAAGTTATTTTTAAATGCTCTTTTAGTTTGTTAAAGGCTCCCATGTGTTTGTTGTGATAGTAATAGTATGTAAAGAACAAAAATACATTTTGAATAACTATATACAAAATAATTTTTTTCATCAGAATTCTACAAGATTAAATATCAGCTATTCTGTTATCATATTTTTCTTGTTATACAGGATCTACAAGTATAGGTGATAGAGAAAAAGAATTGGAACTTATCAGGTTAAAGCTAAAACAACAGCAAGGAGTAAGTTGCCTTTTATAGTTTTCTTAAAAATGTTGAGCCTGTATATATGCTTAATACTATATATAGCAAAATTTGAATCAAAAATCATTTACTGAAGCTTCATATTTAGTTGTATTTGCACATTAAAGCTTTAGCTGAAGTGTTAAATGTATCAGATACATTTTGCTTTCTGATACCACTGTTGCATTGTACTGAGATTGAAGATTTTAAATGCCATTTAAAAATATACTTATATTTGAATTTCTAATTGTTATCTTTTTACTTACAGACTACTCTAGATTTACCAGCTTTGAAACCTGCCTCAGAATACTATACAGATGAAGAAATGGTCAGTATATGTTATGAATATCCAAGTTGTGTCTTGTATGAGAGGATGTGAGACTTTCATGTAAATCATCATAATCACTGTATTATTTTGAAACTAGCCTGAGAACACTACACAGATAAAGAAATGATCAGTTAACCCTCCTTCCACAGGCATTTGTTTCTGAACATGTCGTGAGGTTTTAGTGAGTTACATTCAAAATTTAATTAAACTACTATCTTTTCATGGTATACCAATAAGTATAGCATAAGAATGTAGCTAATAATCCATATTTTTAATAGTATATAAGTTTCAAGTTCTTACTTTTATAAGGCAATATTAAAACAAAATTGAGAATTTCTCCTAGTGTAAGAATTGTGACATTTGCTTTCTTTTCTAATTTATTTACCACCCTCTCTATGAAGTACAAAATTTAATGTAAATTACTCGTTATAATATCATCATCACTCGGACAAAGCTTACTTTTCGTAGCCTTCAATCTTATTTGGTCACAGAGCCATGAAATAGACAATAACTCCCCACTAGCCATGCCCACTTGTCTCATCCTTTCTTTCAGAAATGGCTGATAGTTCTCTCTGATGTTCAATACTATGTTATTTATAACCAATAGAAAGCCAAGGTTTTCACCTATCAATTGACATTATGTTGTTTTCTGTAAAGAGAATTGTCAAATTTGCTTTTAGTTCAAGCTTGATTCCCATGGGAAACACATCTATGAGCTTAGATAAAGTTTTAACAGCTCTTGTCAATAGCTAGAATTATGATATTTATGGGACATTGTCCGCTTTGTTTTGCTCATTATTATTCTGTGTTCTTTGGTGCATTAATTAAATAAAAAATTATTTAGTACAGTAATACCATTAGTATAAAAAGTACGGTTAAGTGTCATCGACAGTTGGCAGCAAAACCAACAGAAGACCCAGGTAAGTACTGTATTTCTTGTTTTTCATGTGTATTCTTTATTTATTATTATACAAGTAACTAAATTTTAAAAATAGGAAACGTTTTAGGTTAGATTAGCTGAAATAAATAATAATATAATAAATGTTCACAAAGTATGCTTGCAAGTAGCTTGTGTAATGTAATTCAATAACGTAACATGAGCTGCAAACTGACCAGTTGTTGGCAAATTCTATTGAGAGCAAACTTTATGGGTAGGCAGATCTAGGTAGAGAAAATAACAGATAAAATATAAAGTTTTACTGAAGAAAATGTTTGAAATTTATTTAGGGGGCTTAAGGAATTACACAACTAAAAGGCCCGGTATGGCCAGGTGGTTAGGGTGCTTGATTGCAATCTGTGGGTTGCGGGTTCGAATCCCCGTCCCACCAAACATGCTTGCCCTTTCAGCCATGGGGGCATTATTATGTGACGGTCAATCCCACTATTCATTGAAAAAAGAGTTGGCGGTGGGTGGTGATGACTAGCTGCCTTCCCTCTAGTCTTATGCTGCTAAATTGGGGACGGCTGGTGCAGATAGCCCTCGTGTAGCTTTGCACAAAATCCGTAACAAACAAATACAAATAAAATTTGAGATTTTTAAGAGGAGAAAAGTACTTTTAATCTTGACATGGGAATCATTTAGCACTTGGACTAGTATATAAAAATACTACATATGTTCATGGACAAATCTTTAGCAAAAATGCTTCACTAAATAATATCATTATTTGTATACAAAAGAATAGTAATGTTTTCTAAAAGTCTGCCAAATTTTGTGAAGATACACTGAGTGTATTAAAAATTATAATATGGAAAATATAACAAGTACAAAATCAGAGAGTTAATACTGTAAATATCATAGTTAGGGGAAGACATTTGGGTTATACTTCAACCTGCCTTAATAGAAGCACATAAATGATTAAAACTACTCAGTTCTCCTGATGGTTACACCACATGCAGGCCTTGAAATTAGAACATGAAGATCATGACATATAATATGTTGTTGTAAGAGCAATAATTTGGGCAACACCATCGTAAATGCCCTTGGTATGTCCTGAAGATATTTTTCCACCTAAAAAAATGCACTTTAATACGAGGCAAGCATTCTCACAAAGGTGAGAAGTGAAGAAAATTACAGTAGGTTTTCTTTTTATCAATTAAATATTTCTGGAGAAATCATAAAATTAGAGGCAGCTTTTCAAGTTAAACATCAGGCATCAAGTTTGTGATGTCCCATCCATACAATAATTAACTTCCCCAACAAATCAAAATGAGACCTGTATTGTTTAAGAGTCCTAATAGTTTTGTTTTCAAACATTTATATTCCTCGTTCTTCAAAAAAAACATTAAATTGAACTCATTTTGCTTTGTACATAGTTGTAGCTAAAATATGTCAAACTATTGTAAATTTAAAGAAATGGGCTTCACTTTTCCCTTCCAAGACAGCAATAATCCAAAATGCATTTTTCACAATACATATAGTTTTGCAGAGTGCACGTTAGTTTTGGTTTTGAATTACATTCTGATTAAAACAAAATATTAATTAATCTAATACAGTGTAAAAGCTACCAGCCAGAGAATTATCAATCATTTTAGTATATAGTTTGTGAAAGAAGGGCAGCACTTAAAAAAATCACTTGGAAATATATGGACAGATAGTTCTACATGTAAAAATTATAGTGTGAATTTTTACAGATTTGTCTTTGTCATGGTTTGTTACAACAATCCACTAAATCCAGTTGTAGGTGAAATTTTATATTTG